GGTTTGAATAACTTAAATAGGAAAACAAATACGAAATGAATTCTGCTAGTTGTAGTTACCTGACGTCATTGTGAAAATAGCCTACACCTACAACATCTCGTAAATCGCGTGAAACCCGAATATGCCTATTTGTTAGGCAGCTAACACTCGCAGTTTGGTCTGTGACTTTCATAAACTAGCATATTCCTGCACAGGGCAACCACACAATGTGTAACCGATTTTTAATGTACTGGAGAAAAAAAAATATACCGTTTGCTTCATTTGTAGCGATTTATCGCTAAATATGTGCAAGGATCAATGGTAAATACGTGTTGTGTTACCTTACCTACGGTAAATTGTCGTCCTTTTGCCTCTGAAGTAGTATTTTGAGAGCGAGTTTGAGGGATGTTCAGTCGCTATTTACTGTTCCTCTTAGTAGAGGGACAAGGGTGGAATCAATGTTTGAACGGCTCCAGCGCCGGAGCGATTTTTTCCCAGAAAATCGCATCGCTCCGCTTTCAAACCACGCAGCAGAAGGGTTGAAAGATTCACGCTTCTTGAAATAAATCTTCTCATACCTTCCGATGGAAAATCCATCCGAAAGGCCCTGACGTAGCCCTCGAAGCAAATTAAAATCCCACAGTTTTCGAACGGTCAAAATGCATCGCAAGGTTTACACGTGCCAGCCAGAAATCGTCCCGCTGATTGCCTCGTTTTGACTGGATATCGCTAAACAATAATCACTTTCCAATTAAATCTGCTTTAAATCAGTTATTGTTTAACCATTTGTTGATTTCTGTAGCTTCTCTGAGGGCCATCTAGCTAATAATAACGCATGCAAGAGCGATTGAAATCTCACGTGTACGGAGAAAATAATACAATATCCTTATGTGACGAGCAAACCCCATCTGCGGCTCAACATGACAACGCCGCCAAGCTACCTGACTCAATCAATTTCTGTATGTTGCCCATCTAAAAGTATTTCAACGCCCCTGAAAATCGGAGGTCATGTCAAATTCTTAAAAAGTAAAGGCTAACGGTGTTTGACGTAAACAAATTGCCTGAATAGTTTAGTTTTTATTAGCGTCAGTTGAGACAAGAAGAATATAACTTTTGACAGGCCATTTATGACTCTGTTTCAGAGCGGGGCTTAGTACAAAGCTATTGATATGAAAATAATATTTCATATCCATACAAATAAAACAAAAGTTTTACGCTCAATAATAATTATAGTAATAATAATGAGAATTTTGAAACTCGGAAATGACCCATTACTGGTTTACATTACTTACTGGTTTACAAGAAGATACCCAGAGTTCAGAGGCTTTGCCCCCTTTGTAATAGATCCGAAATTGTTGATGAATTCCACTATTTGTTGAAATGTACCCACTCATCACTTTCTCCTGTAAGGGGCATCTTCCTGGAGAGCCTATACTCGATAAACAGTAATTTTACGAATATGTCTCGCAAGGCACTATTTTTATATATCATGTCTACGTGCGATGAAAACATCATTAATCTCAGTGCCTCTTATATTGAAAATATTCTAAATTGTTATGCATCCGAACTCTATTAAATTAGCGTAGCGTAGACGCCGTACATAGCCAAGTAATTTTTCTTTTATGATAATATTCAATTGTTCCTTTCTTTCTCACTTAACTTTTATTTTACTTTTTTTATTTGTTGTTGGTTTGGTGCTAAAAAATCTTCATGTCGAAGATAAAGTCAATAAAGTTCGGTTGTTGTTATTATCGGCTGGATTATTGGATATTAGGTGAAGCGAATTCTTCCATCTTCATATGTAGGATAGCTAAAAACTCTAAAACAGTTTGAGGCCAAAGTGACTTCTTCCTACGGCCTCGAGCAATTGCTGCTCCGTTTTAGCAGCCAAAAATTTCAAACAGAGATTTATCGAGAACGCTCTCATTAAAATGACAAATATTGGTACAGCTCAAGACAGCTGGTATGAAATACAAGCTCTTGTACGCTATAAGTCTTATTAGCTTCAAAAAGGAATGTCTAGTTTTATCAAAAATTATGGAAAAGTAATTATGGCAATGGCATCACTGTGTTGCCATGGATACACCGATCTCGAACTTTTGGAAACTTCAAGCCATACCACTATTCAAATATGCGATACAATATTTTATTTCCTGCTTTGTTTCAGGTAATATCTTCGTATTTTGAGTTCTAATAGAGAGACTAGGTATTGTTAATGAAAAACCGAGTCAGGTCAGCTTTAATAACAGCTTCCATACACCACTCAACTCAACCAGACTATGAATATTACTTTGTATTGATGCCCAGTGACTGACGGATAACTATAATTACATTTATCACCAAGCAATAAAGGAATCTCAGTGCAGCACTTCAGAAATAACTGCGGTCATGATGAGTCAGGTCTTGGTTTGACGTCACATTTATTGTTTTTTTTTCCTTGTGGTTTTGATTATTCGTAACATTAGAAAGAAGATTGTGTTGAATTTCTATTCAGTTTTACATTTTACGCTTGTAAAATTTTGCTGTTTGAGCAAACGTTTTGCATCTAGCTAGCAAGCAGGTACTATGTTTAAATCGTGAATAGGTATGCGACATAAAAGACGGACGAACTACTAAATTAATATGCAAATAACCTAGGGCGCAAAATTATGTGCTTCGGAGAATTTTCATTTTACTAATAGACCGAATCGTGCTAAACTGTTATAGCATAATCAAGAATAATCCGGCGAAAAATCAGCTCGATAGACATCAAATAAATTATGGTTGAAGGGTTAATTTATAAATTGGGTCTCGTGGTTCTTGAACAATTCCCTGACTTCCCAGACCCTTTTAATATAGTGTCAGCCAACCGTTAAGTAAAGTTACTTAACTGACTTAAGTAAACCGTTAAGTAAAGTTACTTTTTAGCAATAACTTCTTCGGTTATATCATTAAGGTTGCTCTCGTCAGGGTAAGCAAATTTCTGACTACTACAAACAGCAAGGACCGGGATACTAAGGAAATAACTGTGTAATCCGCCAAGGTAAGCATTTTACAATTTCGCTGAAACTGACAATATATTTGATTGCCTGAGGAAAAATATATTGAATTGAATGTGTTCGCTGCTAATGAGGTTTGATTGCACCTCACTAGATCTGTAGTAAAATAAGCAGTTCTTCGGAAGAAACATTAAGTCAAGCTCTTAGTTCATACTTGAATGAAAAAATCGGTGTGGCATCAGGGGAAATACTGAAGGAAAAGCAGTATTTGAACAGATCCAGGTCCTTCTGGTGCAGTGCCTTGTGGTTCTGCCATGCATCTCAGGTTTTCTCATGCGCGATTGTTAAGATATTTGTACAATATTACAGAATCGTTAAATTCTAGCTTGAGAGGAACATCCAGCCAAACTTAGAACTATCCTAGCTGCGAAGATTTGGACTAGTTACAGTTTCATTACTGGTATTTTAATTTGAGGTAGTTCACACCGAGGAACAGTAAAATAGCTTGGTAAATACAAAAGAATGGTTTTGAAGAACGTTTGTGTTTTTTTGTCAATGAGACGCTTAGCTACGCTTTATTCAGTTGATTATAAACAACTTATAAATACGCATACAGCTTGGGAATATTATCTTTTTTTACGTGATCATCTTAGTTATAACTGTTGTCATTACACAAACCAAGGTCCTCAGCTACCTCTACGGGACATTCTGTTTCGCGGGAAGCAAATTTCTCAGTTGTTTTTTGTCGCGACATATAATGTCCTTAAATGACGTCACAATCATTCCCACTCTCCAGTTTCTAGTTGCACGAATTTGTACTCCACCGGGGGAGAAATTTCACGTTTTTGGTACGTCAAACCACGAGAAAGAAAGAAAAAGAAAGAGAAAGAAAAATTGATATCAAAATTTTATTTATTTTTCTCTCCTTATCAGGACATTCTGTAGATTGCATCAAGAAAGAAAAGAAAACTTTGCGATATACACTTAAAACCTTCTTGACTTACATAGCTTTTTTGTACAAGAACGGCAAACATTCTCCGATTTTCCATTGAGTGCTCTTATTGCATAGGGATCAAATGATTGTTCAGTAATTCAGCATTTTAAATAGAAACATTTTTGAAGAAGAACATGTGATTTAATTCTAGTACAGACGCTACGTTACTATGTTGCTCAATATAAAGTGTCTTTGATTACCATACTTAATGAACAGCGGAAGAGGCCCTGGGCAATAATCTTGTTAAGTTGTTTCAGCTATAGCAGACCGTATATGTAAAACTAGTATTATCGATTATAATCTTAAAAAAAAAATGGTTATAGATAGCAAGTCAAACTTTTTTCTTTCATTTTATTTTGGCGGTCAATTTAAGAAATAGAACATCCCAGTCTGCCTCGATGGCAGAGCCGTGGCCATCTTTCTCCTAAGATTTAAAGAAACTTTTCGTGCCTTATTTTTATCCATCTTCTCTTTAATTTTCTTTATTTTTTCCTTAATGGCATCATAGTTATTAATAAAAGTAGAAGGGCAACCCGTTAGACTCTTTGTTCATATGTTTTTGTTAGCTTTTTTTGGACCTGACTGTGCTCAACGTTCAAAACATTCCTATCATTTTGTACTTACAGACCAATAGAAACATTGCATTGATTTATTCAGTCACAATTTGTGAACAAAAAACAAAGGATTGTGCTCGGTCAGGGAGCTTCCAACATAAACTACAGCGCCGTTGTTTTCCTAACCAGTCTCCTCTACTAGCTATGGTCACATTTCATCATACTCAAACAAGATCTTGACTCAAAGAATGACATTTTCTCTAGAAACTAAAGAAACTTAATATTAACAAAGATATTATTAAAACTTTTTTATCGTATTCCCTGGAGACTTAATCAAGCTGAAACTCTTGGAGCTGTTACGTGTTCGTATCTGGCCACAGAAATATCCTAAAAGTATTTTCAAGGTAATTTAGTATCTATCTCTTCTCGCCCACGCTGTCCAGTACATTTTGCGCAACAACAGATGATTAAGGCTTGAGCTCATGATCAAATGTAATGTATATTTTGCAGAATCAAACCATGACATTTAATCAGAGATTTCGCTTAAATCTGATCCAAGAGGCTAAGACAGAGCTAGACTTTCTTGCTTTGGTAGATGATTTTCCCAGTTTGTATGCGGGTCCTGTTCTCAAAAATGCTATCAGGAGATATGAAATGTTCTGGCTCCCACTGGCAGCCAGAGAGGGTAGCTCCAGTAGACTTCTTGCAGCGCCATTAGACATTGCTTGGGTGTGGTATCTTCACATGTTGTCACCACAGGATTATGAACAGGACTGCATGAACATTGTCTCTCAAGTTGTTGACCACTTGCCTATGAACAGATATCAAAGAGAACGAGGTCTTCAAAACGCTCGATACTTGTGGGAGAATGCATATTCTAAAGAATGGTTTGAAGTCGACTTAAACTATCCTACGCCGTTTAAAATGCTGTACAGACTGAAAATTCGTTATGACATCGAAAAAGCATCTTACAACCAATCCAAGTTCTATTATCAAGTATCGCTCCCACACTTTAGCGATAGCAAGTTTCTGGAAAGCGCTGTTGAGCGATACGAACATCATTTGCATCTCAAGAGCCAAAATCCACAAGTTCCTATGGTCCCGTGCACCGATATAGACTTGATTTGGCACGCACACCTTCATCACCCGTTGAACTACAAGGAAGTAACTTCAGAAATATTCGGGTCAGTAGTCTGTCCTGGAATCTATGACTCAAGTCTCAGCCTTGGACTAACTTTGGACGATTCTGAGACTGGTACGAGGGCTGTATCTTCTGCAGCGGGTTTCAAGTATGACAAACCAGGAACCGTGTACAGAGGTGAACCACCTCAACCTCGACCTTCACGACAAAATGGGCTTTACTTCTCCTTGGGAAGGCTCCGCTATGTCATGAGAATATTGCAAGTAGAGCTGGTAAATGTGGATGTGAGCAAAAAGTTTGCTGTCCGAATTTATGATCCTATGGGCGGTCTGATAGTGGATGCAACGATTCAAGGTGGAATCCGTCTTAATTTAATGTCCCAGTGTATCATTGACAACGAAAACCGTCACACGCTCTCGGTATCTTTACACCAGAAATCACTACTTGGTTTCGAAAGGTCCATTGGTTCATCTGGGTTGAATTTGCTGTCCTTTATGGATGCATATACATATGGTGGAGTACCTCAACAGCCTTGGGTGATAGATGTTCCCTTTGCGGCTGCACAAGCTATCGTGAGGCTGTCAGCCATGTTGGACCCTCCGTCCATCGAAGGTTATCGATTCACAGTTCAGCCAGATCCTTACTTCGCAAACGTTAACCATCCTTGTTTTGTACTCAGTTTTGCACAGTCGATGTTCTTACCCAAAGACTTTGCAAAAACGTACCTGCCCTGCGAATGTGCAACTCACACTTTGTTGGACTGCAGAGGGCGGGAGGCTTTCAAGTGTCGTGTTGTCCACAGTATTGAAAGTTTGCTATCGGCGGTGGAGATCATCAGTGTTCACGGTGTTGTTGTTGCATCTGCTCACACAATGGATCTCAACGCTCTTCCCGAAAAAGCAGCGATTGAAGATTACACGAGATGCGCTTATTTAAACCGCGTGGAGGGCGAGCGAGCGATGGTTATCAAAGGTCAAAAGGACTGGGGCATCTGCATTGGGAAATGGCAGAGAGGAAAAATGTTCAATCGTGCAGCAGGCCAAGTGGAAATCAAATTTTTCAAGCTCAACGGGCTGAGAGGCTGGTGTGAAGTACGCAAATTCAAGGGTGGCCTTTACTTGCTCTACCTAGAGCCAGCTGTCTTTGTTTACGTGGACTTGAAGAGAGGATTGTTTGTGTTTTCTCCATCGGCACAGGATGTTCCAGAAATGGTTGCTTTTGCTTTCTCGATGTCCATTCTCTATTTGCTCTGCAAGCCTTACAATCCGACAGCGGCGAACGTTTCGTCACCATCCTTTCACAAGAAAGCCAGAAAAGATAAGGTGACCACTATGCTTCTTGCTGCTGGATACAAAAGCTCTGTAGTTCCAACTAACATCTATCTTTCAAGAAGTATTCAGGGCTCTTCAGCAACACGTCGATCCCTGGAAGGTGCGGGAACCTACGATCTTGATTCAGAATCTGGTCCTGATTGGATTAGAGAACTCATGAAGAAAAAACCGGGAGCATTATTGTGGTATAATATGAGCGGCGTGCCCTACGAACTTCCGACCAAAAAGGAACGTAGCTCGAGAGGAAGTTCCTTTTTTGGGTCAGGAGGGGGAGGAGGAGGTGACGGCGGAGGAGGAGGGGGAGGTGACGGCGGAGGCGGATGTTAAGACAGGAGAAACGGATGTTCTGGCCGAAGTAAAGAAACGGAATATGGACTTGTGCCAGCATGAATGTAGGCTGCGAAAGAGTTTTAACTCTATAATAATGTTGCTATATTAGTATAGGTAATAGCATGATTTGTAGTGATATTTGGCAGAAATACCACGAATGAATTTTCGAAGTTGTTATACGTAATTTCACGAGCCCTTAGGCGAGCGAAGTTTGAGACAATTTTTAAATATCGCGAGTGGTATTTATGACAAATATAACGTACAAATCAAGCTATTATTTGTTTATACCACTACCCACAAAAGGTTTGTCATTTCCACATGTACATATTTCAGATTAAGCTGAAATACCACTGCTCTAAACCAATCAAATTGCAGAAATTTCTCTTGTAGTGGAATAAACCGATTAATTTTATGTCTCTTAGAAGTTCAAAAAAAAGAGAACACTGTAACATTTTCATCAAGAAAGTGCAGGGAAACACAACATCTTACCCAAATCGCTGAACACGGAATGTTGAAATGTTGCAGAATCACTGAGAAAAACCACTGGTATTACTGTAGTTTTGTAACAATTATTCAAATTTTCACTATTTTTGCTTCATATATAATGATTAAGTAGCTAATATGCTTTTGTATAACGTTACATTGCAAGCAATTAACAGTTAATGAATGAGGCTGAGTATCTTATGAAGAATTATGGAGATCGAGGAGCTCCGAGATCTCCATAATTATTCATATGATACGAAAGCGAATTCAATAATTGCTTTATTATTCATTCAAAATAATTCCTAGTTTAAAAACATACCTAAAACATGCTTACCTCCATTGATGCTAAGTTCATCTTTGAAAGTGCACGTTTAAAATTGTTCAGCTCCGCAAATATTCTCGAAATAGCAGATGTCGCCCTTCGAGTTGTCTTCTTGCTGTTCTTGCCATGTTTTTAGCTATTAGTGTTTACTGAAGTGTCCACCATTTTTGTTTTCACAACCAAAACAACTCAACCTCGTCCCCAGGTCCTCTCGGTTAACGGTGCATTAACCTGCAAGGACGCTGCACTTTTGACGTCATCGGTTCATTAATCGCAAAATGCTTCCAAATTTGGTCATCAGTAACTGGTTAGGGTGAATTACGCTTCTGCTTTTAGCCAATCAGAATCGGGAAATAATAAGGTTTATGATTCACACCTTTTCTTTTGTTATTGCTTGATCCAATACCACTTCATAAACTTTTCGAGATTCTGTAAATAAATTAACTATTCCACAGCTACGCACTAATTATTTCCGTAACAGTTTTCGCTACACTGGTTCTGTTCTGTGCAATCGTCTTCATGAAACTTTATGGCAAGCGGAATCCCTACGTACTTTTAATTCACTTTTGCACAGTTATTACACTGATATTAAGTAAGGCACGGCATTCATGGAAAACAGGCTTTTTTTTCGTATATAGTTAATTGAATAATTCTAATACTCTATTTAGCGGAACCTAGTAAATGTAATTAAGGTTTATAAAATTTTTTATATTTCATGCCTGATGAATCTATACAACCGTGCATAAATAAAGATTACTTACTTACTTACTTACTTACTTACTTACATACTTACTAACAACCTTTATTTGACGTATCACCCTCTTGAATATTCAACAAACTGAAAGTCCGGGGAGGGCTGTTTGGGAAAGTGCAGCGTTGATAAGAGAAATATTAACACTGTGTGTGCTGTGTCATTAGGATAATACAGTGAAACTTGTATTAAGCGGACACCCTTGGGGAATGCTGTAGTGTCTGCTTAATACATGGTGTCTGCCTAATACAGGTTTCGATAAATAAGGTTATGTGAGGTGTCAAATGCCATTCAAATGAACAGTGAAAATGTTTAGAATACCCTAAAGACTATGACGATATACGTTTGCATTAATTTCTTTATTAACGTGAACTATAAATTGATCATAGTACCTTAAACATAGATTGCAACTCAAATTTGAAGAAATCAGATGAGTGAAATAAGCTCTATACAACCAAAACGAAATAGAAAACTGACCAAAACCATACTGTACAGTGAAACAAATCAAATAAGTTCGTCAAGTCACGTTTTTTAATATAAAAATCGAAAAAATTGTGGGTGGCAATTTTTCGCATTTCCGGTGTGTGGCACGTTGGGTGGTGGAATTTAATTACAAGTAAATAAGGGAAATAAATTTGGGGACTTCGACTACTGTCCTCTTAATAGAGGGTGTCCGCTTAATACAGGTTCACTGTACTGTGAAACCTCCTGTTGGCGACCACCCAACATACAAAGATTTAGTGGTCCCCTACTTGGTGGTCCTCTAAGGGAGGGAGGGAGGTAATAGTGAGCTGGTAACGTTAACAGTAACGTTAGCAAGGGAAGAGAGGAGCTGATGAATTGAATTCATAACTATTAATTAGGAATTGATCTGTATAAATCCCTCGTTTGAGGGATCTATCGAGATAAATCCTCGACTGAGGGATTTTATAAAAACAAACCCCCAAACAAAAAATTAATGGAAATTAATTCTAGGAACAGTTCTCGTTGCAATTAATCGCAATACAACTTTGCTGTTTCTGACGACATAAAATTCCATATCTGGACCAATTTAAACTTCGACGACGAATTTGCTGAGCCAATAATTGAGTTCGTCCTTGTTAGTGATATTCAAAATCTCTGGATTGACGAGGACAATTGTCTCACTGTCTCCAATGATTTGGATCAAATCGTTGCGTTCCTCGCCTGTTCAGACCAGACACGGACTGCCCTCGTCTCCCTTGCAGCCGTATTTTGGATGTCACGCAACGCTTTCCCAAAAGAGTTCTTTTGGGGGAGTGTTGCGTGACATCCTAAAAACTGCTGCGAGGAAGACTAGGGCTGCCCACGATGTGGATTTTTATTCGTGTATTTAGCGGTATTCGAGAAGCCTTCCTCTTTTCACAGTTCTTCATCGTCAACGATAGCAATCATTCTACGGTCTGCTGAAGTTTTCCGTCGATCTGTCTGTCCTTCCTATGTTAAAATTAGGTTCCAATAGCTCTTCCGAAAAACAATTTTGTGTCAGAAAAAGCTCTTCGTCGCTGTCCGTGAACTCCATGATAACATGAAAGCGTGAAGCGACCTACTGAATAATCGAACACACCGATAAAAATGGTCAAAACAACTGAACAAAGAAACCAAAAAATGCAAAGCAAACTTCCTGAGGACGCCACAAAACGTTTCTCAAAATCATGTCAAAATCTCGATTTTGTAAGGGGCTGTTTACATGGAGGTGGGGGACCCTAGATAGGAGAGGTAACCCGCTTAGGTTGAGTGAAAAAATAACCTCCTCTACATGTAATCTTACAACTCCCCCATCCCGGGGTACACTTTATCAAGATTACTGAATGGCCGCTAAGCACGTAGACAAGAAAAATGCTGGCAAACCACGTTTTTTGGTGATTAATGCTATTCTAAACTCACTTGCTGCTCTTGCTGCAACCTTCAGTGCGGTGGATTTCTGTTGTTAATTACTTTTAATAATGATGCAAAGCTACTGCCAAAGCGAATTTTGGGCGAATTCAGTATCGCGAATCCGACCCCGGCTAGTGGGGTTACCCCACCTTGAAACGTTTACATGGCAAAATTTGACCCCGGCTGAGAGGGTTACCCGGTCAGGCAGACCGGGCTACCCGCCTTGGCGGGTCACCCCACCTATCATGTAAACGTGATCAAATTAAAATGAGAGATTATATGAACAGGCGGGTTACCCCACCTTAGCGAGTTGCCTCACCTACCTGGGGTCCACCACCTCCGTGTATACAGGCCCTAACTTTCATTTTATTTTTTCATTTGATGAAGGTGAGAGCGTGCACGTGGCTAGTGCTTTGCTCTCTTGAACAAAAGGTCTTAATTATTGAATCATGGTTAAACAGGGAACGAAAACAGCCGAAAATTCGGTAAAATTTATAATATTAAGACAGACACATGTGTTTTCCATTTTGCAAAGATCTATCAGGAATGATATCATGGAATAAGTTTGATAAATACCTCGCACGTCGGTATTTATTAATCCATATACATCCCTCGCGTCTACGGCCCTCGGGATGTATACGGATTAGTACCTCCGTTCGAGGTATTTATCTCTTACATGTAGTCAAAGTTGGTGAAGTGGAATTGATACGTTTTGCTGCTCTTTAGCATTCGTACCATTTTGATCTTATTAGCCAACAAAGAGGGTGCTAATGGGGGTACCCAATTCTCAGTTAACTACTATTTTTTGGCCAAATATCAGTTAACAACTATTTTTTTGGTCAATTCTCAGTTTACTACTAAACTTGGTTAACCATTAACTTTCACTACTTTATTCCTACAGCGAATATTATTCCGTCATAACCCGAATTTTTCTCCTCGCACTTTTGCGGGTAGGCCCTAAAATCAAGGTATAAATTTACATGAACTCTGCCACTAGTACAATCCATTGTAACAGACGACGACAAATATTATGAATGCCAACATATAGTCTTAAATAGCAAAACTGGAGTATTATTTTTGGAATCCAGTTGGTGAATTCAACCACTGTTTGCGCCGATGGGAGAGACATAGTTGAGAGTGCTTACAAAGGCATGAGAGTATTTGCTACGGGACAATTCGACTTTTCGAGAGTGTAGTCTACTTCAAACTCGTAGTTTTTTTTAAGTGATTCCTTTACTGTGTTTCCAAAGTCTTGGGCGTAGTTCAAAGCAATAAATGTTTTATGTTAAAGTGAGAAACCGCATGTATGTTTTTAACCTGCGTTGTCAGACGTTTTTCGTACCTCGATACAGATTTTCGCGTCCCTCATTGTTACCTTTTTCGCAGACGTACCTTTTTCGCGTATTTCAAAAGCCTCACAAAGATATCCAAGGATTTTAAGAAATGAAACTGCCGAAACTGTTTCAGAAAGACCGGTTTAAACAAGAGCTTTTCTTTCTATCAAAAAAGTCTCACAACATCAGTCACAAAAATGATTTCTCGTGA